AAGTACGAAGCTAACAGTGCATCCTGAGAGAGGAGAGCTCTAGCAGCTCCCTCTTCAATCAAAGACTGAAGTTGGCTTTACTAATAGTGAGACAACTAGAATGGCTGTGCCTCCTGATGTGATACAACAGGAAGGATCTAATACCACGAATGAGGCATTCTTGCCAACACACACACACACACACACACACAATCTAATCAAGAGTCTAATCAAGCCTCCCAACCTAGTTTCCAGTTTCCAGGAAATGTAGGAGGGAGGGACCAGTTAAAGCACAACACAAGGAAACAGTCAAATCCAGAATGTGGGATATTTTACAAAACAACTGGCTGGATTCTTCCAAAAGTCAATTTCTTAAAAATGAAATAGATGAGGGGAGGGGAGGGGAGGGAAGGGGAGGGCCAGGAGGACAGAGAGGAACTGATCTAGACAAAAAGTGAGTCAAAAGATAACCAAATATAATGCACAAGCTTTGACACATTTGAGGATATCTGAATATAGACTGAACATCAGGTGAAATTCTGTAAGCATTAATTCTTCTAGTTGTTATTATGATTACGTGGAAGACCGTATTTTAAGAGAAGCACACTCATACAAGTGAAGGGTCATGATGGTGCCACAACAATACACATATAACATACACAAAATATTAACAACTGTTGAATCTAAGCAAGGGATAGAGCGTGTTCATTCCTTCAACGGTTCTGTAATTATGAACATTTTCATAGTAAAAAGTTCGGGGGAAATTATTAAAATGAAAACATAAAATTTAATTCTTGGGAGATAAATCTTACTCTTGAGAGTTTATGGACCCCAAGTTGAGAATTATTCAGGTAAGTTAATTTATCTTCTTACCTTCCACAGCATTAACTCAAAGTAATGGGATATCCCAAAACTGTAAGAAACAAACTATTAGCCCCTCACGTTAAGACACAAGGACTGAAAGGAAGTTTATCAAGAATCCAAACAACCACTTCAATCAAGTTTCCCTGAAAACACATCAAAAACATATACACACACAGGAGTGCATGTCCAACCAGGGAAATCTGAACAAACTCTGTGGGCTGAATCTGGGCCAAGCGCCGGTGGCCTGCACTGTCTGAAGCCATGCTGGCAGACGTGCATAATGGTGCAGGCTTATTTGTTATAATCGAACATCAGAGTATGGGTCAAATCCTTAACTTGTTAAGAGCAACTGTTTGCTTCGCTTGATTTTGGGCAAGGGCCTCAGTTATGAAGATGCTACCACTGCAGACAACTGGGTGCAGGGTACATGAGACCCCCCCGTGTATAATTTTCTGCAAATTCTTCGAATCTATAATTATTTCAAAAACAAAAACACATTATAGATCTCATGTCCTGGTCTTCTCCAGTTTGAACATATCCTTAACCTGCTCCTTAAACCCTTTCCCACAACCAATCTGATAAATGACAAGCTTTCTTTAAAAAGAGCTCTTCAAAATCCTAAAGATAGTCAATTCTTAAAACTGTGAAAGTCTGAGAAGACATACAAAGAGATCCCTACATCTCTTGCAAATAAACGCCTCCCGTCTAGACTCCTCACTTCTCTACATAGTACCTTTACTTCACCCAGGGTGAAATATGAATTTTCAGTTGGCTCTGTTTTCCAGGATCACAAAATCAAGTACAGAGGTGATGAGGACTCGGTGCAGCCAGCCTAGAGCACATTCATTCAGGGATGCCAATAGCTGACAGCTGGGGAGAGAAGGGCAGCCATGCCATTTACCTCCCCACATCTGCTGCTTTTCTGGCCTTCTGAGCCCGAGGAATAACTAGAAGGCTGGTAACTGCCTCTCAATTTCATCTAAGAAAGAGGCTCAAGAGTCAGGACACGTCTGTGATTTTTCTGAAGAATAAGCATTCACACTTTCTGCTCCCGAGAAGAAACTGAGTGGAATTCAGGAACCATACAGAATCCTCCTCTCATCAATAGGACCACTCCAACAGCCCCTTCTGCTGGAGCTGAAACCAGAAACATCAGCCGCAAATTTCCCCTCATGCCAGCCTGCTTCCCTCCTGCTCCCAGATCCGCCCCCCCCAGGGCCAATGCCTAAAACTTGGCAAGAGCTGGGAGTCCCTTGAAGTGAGGGGTGGCAAGGGCATGTTTTCCAGGGTGCCGGCTGCACAATATCCTCTCTCCATAAGCAACACTTGCTCTGGGCCCTGAATGTGCCCCCAGGCTACAGCACAGAAGTTACTCTGTAGAAGGGTCACTGTAAGAAAACAGCACACAAGAAACATTACTGAGAGGCCAATATGGTAAACGGCTGATTGGGTTTGTATTTGTTCTGAAGACTCACCATCTGGTTTTCATTTTACCTGCACACATGGGTTTTGCATAATTATTTTTAAAGGAGTCCTGAAAATGCATTTGTCCAACATTGCCTGATTTTGCAGGCAAGGAAAAACCTTTTGTATACAACTCAACAAAAGTGGAATACAAAAGCATCTATCACACATGTAGATATGTATTTCATAGCTATGCTCCTAGAAAGATAATTAAAAGTAAATAAACCAAAGCACCAACAGCGGTTACTGTAACGTAGCAGTATAAAGATTTAATTTTTAAAAATATTTTCCTCTGGGGCGCCTGGGTGGCTCAGTCCTTAAGCATCTGCCTTCGGCTCAGGTCATGATCCCAGGGTCCTGGGATCGAGCCCTGCATCGGGCTCCCTGCTCAGCGGGAAGCCTGCTCCTCCCTCTCCCACTCCCCTTGCTTGTGGTTCCCTCTCTCGCTGTGTCTGTCAAATAAATAATAAATTAAAAAATATATATTTTTCTCTATCTTACACTTTTTTTTAAGCCGTGATTATATACTGCACAGTTATCATCAGAGCTGGGCTTAGGGGAAGAGGTCACTCTGGAGAAGACAAACCTCGTTCAGATTCCATTTGAGATGTGGAAGGGAGCACAGCCTGGCTGATGACAAAAGCTCTGTCAGCCAGGACAGCACAGGCTGAAGTGAGAAAAGAAATGCAACTCTCAGGGCGCCTGGGTGGCTCAGTTGGTTAAGCGTCTGACTCTTGATTTGGGCTCAGTTCACGGTCTCAGGGTCCCGGGATCGAGCTCTGCAGCGGCTCCATGCACAGCAGGGAGTCTGCTTAAGATTCTCTCAACCTCTGCTTCCCGGCTCCCCCCAACCCGGCTCACGTGTGCACTCGCACTCTCCCTCTTTCTCTCAATCAATAAGGAAAGAAAAAGAAAAAAAAAAGGAATGCAACTCTCAGAACTTCCAGATGCTTCATAAAATTCCAAAAGCTTACATTTAAAACGATGCCCAGTCTGCTAATAAACAAGTCAGGAAGGTGTTAATAAATGCCAAAGAACACAGGCTCCAGCTACACCATTTCCCACTGTGGCACCAGCACCATGCACGGTGGCAGGAATGGAGGCTTGAGAGGAACGTGCCATCCATCATTCCATTCATGGAGGGCGCTTCAGAAATAACCTATTGTATTTAAATCACAGTTAAGTTACAATTTTTGTTCCTTAACCACTCTTTAAAATAATCTTAAAAATAATATTTAACTGGAAAGCATCCAATTTCCCCGAGTTGTACACCAAGATAAGGTGGCTATAAGGCGACAGAATAGTCCATTATCTCAGTAGGTTACAAGAATCTTTAGGCCATTCAACCAAGCAATGGGTCCCTTTTCATTATAAAGTCTCCAGGATTCTCTTTGGCAGAAAAAAAAGAACAGCCATCTCATAAAATGTCCCGTCTTCAAATATTTGTATAAAGTTCTATCATTTGTCCCGTAGTCCATAGGTAACAATGTTTTCTAACTCTTACTAACAAATATGCACACTGGAGATGAGCATGTTCTTAGAGACCAAGGGGAGAATAGGACGGAGAAGGAAACCTCTCTAGAATGCTCAACTGCACACCTGATATCAGTTTAGCCATTATTTCCCTAGACCAACCCCAGATTTGGGGAAGACTATGGCTTGATTTAAAGATATCCCAAATCAGGGCACCTGGGTGGCTCAGTCAGTTAAGTGTCCAACTGTTGATTTTGGCTCAAGTCATGATCTCTGGGTTGTGGTATCGAGCCACTGCTTGAGATTCTCACCCTCTCCCTTTGCCCCTCCCCTGCCCCCTGCACAAGCGTGCTCATGAGCTCTTTCTCTAAGAAAAATAAAAATAAATTTAAAAAAGATATCCCAGATCCCCATGGCTGCTTGCTAACTCGCTCTAAAATTTGTGATATATCATGGTAAATCTTATTCATAATTAGGCAAGTTAGAAGCAACCATGAGAATAAAAAGTAAAATTTCAGATAAAAATAAAGTAAAATGGATTTGGTTCACTACAGTCCATGGTTATCTTTAAAAAGTTAAGTATGGACTTCAGGAACATATACACTTACTTTTGTGTGAGTTAATCTCTCCTCTTTCCCATCTAAAGCTACAGAGTAAATCCTCATGTGACCATTTCAAGAACTATTTTTTGCTACTAAATTTTGCCAACAATCTGCTCAGCATTCTAGCAGATGTTTCTGTTTTCAAACCTCTGGGAACTGGGCTGGATCTGTTTTCTTTCCCCATGTTAAAAATAAAAGAAATGGCCCAAATGTGGCCTAATACCCTAGAGAAGCTTTTCCCCATCCCACACCCCCCGATCTCCCTATTCATGTGACCTCCATGATCCCTTCTCAAATTTTTTCTTTTCCATTAGAGAAGATGTTTCCAATTATGGTCCATTAAGTAGCCAAGGATGACATCACTCAGTTTTTCTGCTTGTTTGTTTTTTTTGTTTTTTAAAGAAAATGCTACTGATTCCTAGTTACTTGGGGACCACCTGCAACAATTTAAGCCAACTAGTCGGCTGGACCTTATGAACCCACCCTGTCACAGGGGGGCAATTTGTTCAAGATCAATTCTACAAACAGAACAATATTATTAAATTGGGGTTTGAGGGACAGGAGGATCTTGTCTTTTATATAATGATTTCTTTAAAATTATCTGTGACCCAACCTTACCTCAGTGACATCCATAACTTTGATGGCCGCCAGCTGACCTGTTTTAACATGTCGACCCTGAAAAACAGAGAAAAGAAAGATAATTGGCACCACTGTTTTGCATGATCATTAGAACAGGATGGCTGAAGTTTCAATAAATTATCTCTTTTGTACTTTTTCCCAAAAGTGATGATGAAATAGTCCCGTGCTCTCCAGTAGAACGATATGGGTTGTAATACCAATGAACTCCACTTAATAAACAAAACTAGTAATAGAGCCAATGAGTTTTGATAAAGTATCAATTTCTTTCTTTCTCAGGTTCAATTTGCATATCATTACCTCTCAACTTAAGCAACTTAACTAATATTTTCTTCTATACATCAAGTTGACCACATTTTCTTTCTTAACATTCTGCGTGAATGAAATGACCCAAAAAAGCCTCTTGCTATTTATTTTCAGGAATGGATAGCAGTCATTTTTCCCTAGTGTACTCCCAAGACCCATTACTTGATTTTACAAAAGTTATACTGACAGTCTTCTTTGAAGCTTTCCTGCAGTCCCAAGGTAGGGAAGTTGGAGAATAATTACCCAGAATAAGGGAGTGTACAAAGAGATAGGGATGATGCAGAAAGAGAGATTTCTTACAGTGACAGTATAATTCCTGACCTAGGACCTAAAACTCATTATTTCTATCCCTGGGCATTTCAAACCAATATGAGGTCAATCTCTCACCCAGATGAACAGGACTACATTTAATTCCTGTCAGCCCTGCATCTCTCCACCCACTCTTTGCAGTGCTCTGCTGGCCATTCCTCAGGCAAGTAACATAGAGCTACCCAGATCTCCTGGGCTTGATCTACTCCAGGATTTTGTGGACAATGGTCCTTCTTCACCAAATGTCAAACAGAAAGAACAACACCATATCTCCCAAGAGCCTCCTGCCTCGCTTGTGGTCTCATGATGAACAGTTATGAACTTCGGAACTTGAAACCTGAGGAAAGCTCTCCATTTAGTCTGGGAAACTTACCCGGAAACTCAAGTTACATCTAGGACAAAACAACTTCATGAAAATGACACTGTATTACAATCACATCTCAACTGTATGAGGTCACGGTGGCATGGAGTCCTGCAATGGCCCAGCAGTTCATGAGCAGGAACTACACAACAAAGTAACATACAGGTAACCAGGACAAATAAAATCCATCGCCAAGAAACTCATCCCAACTCTCACGACCCACAGATACCACCACCTCCCTCTAAAGTGAACTACCTTCCTCGTCTTCAAAAGTGCTTCCATGTAAGTGGGGGCACCACCTCCCACAACACACACATCCGCAGTTTAGACAGTCTCAAGTTCTGCTTCTGATGGGAGCAGGCTTGTCCCACATTGGTCCACGGCCCAAGGAACTGCCTCCTGCCCTGTCAGCTATTTCCCAGCTACCATTCCACAAGCATGCTTTTCCAGCATGGCCAGCCTCAGCAGATCTGAACTGTCCCCCCAACTGTGGCTTCAGTACTCCATCATCACACCTTCCCCAACATCGTCACACAGCCCTGCTGAACAGTCTGGCACTCTTTCTGCATTCACAGCTGAGTAACCCATAATCCTGAAAGAAAATGCTTCCCTGTGTGTTACCATACAGCACACAAAATGATCTAAGAAGCCATTTGACATCTACAGAAGCTCCACCTCAGAGATGCACAGAATGGAATACAACTGTGTGTCAGGAAAGTAGTAATTTATAAATGTTATATGGGCTCCCATATTTCTGATTCTACTGCCATTTTTTACTACCTGTCTGTCCAAGATTCAGTATCTTTTCATAATGCCCATTCCTGAATCACTCATTTAAAATTTTTGCCTATGTGTGTTTTGGATCTGTAACCTCAGCCTTTTTAATCTTTGTAACCCCCAGCTCTGTACTAAGCACTAATACACAGGTAACTGAGCTGTCCTTCATGTCATGGGCATTGGCAGGATCCTAAAGCTACAGGATAGTGACCCAGAACATGGACTCCAGCATCAAGACCGTGTCCACACTTCATGTCCTCCACTTAGTAACATAACAGTGCCTCAGCCTCCTGTCTGTATGGTGGTGCCCACTGCACTCACAGGTCTATCATGAAGAATAACGACGATGCAATGAGCCGTGCAGTACACACGATCAATGATAAATAAATTAATAAATATGGCAATAAAATACAACTGGACCTTGTTTCCCTGAACTGAAGATAGAAAATTAATTTATTAGCATAGTATCAAAACAACTCCCATGACTATGACTGGTTAACAGAACCATGAAGCCAAATTACGATTTCCTTAAATCCAAGAGCAAAGAGGAGACCGTAAGAGAACAGAGTATTAGGTAACCTTCCAGTGCTTTCTATATAAGAGACACAAAGATCATCTATCTCCTTAGCATCCAGGCAGCCCTCAAAAGTGGAAACACATACTGATTACTCTTCCTGCAGTGGGGTTATTTCCAAATTACTAAAGCAAATTTCTTGCTGACAGAACCAAATGATGAGAGAAAATGTCACAAGAGTTGCCCCCCCCCAGCTTTTGTTCTTTTTAAAGAGATAAATAGCACTGAGCTGGGAATGTGTTAGAGGAGGTGTGGGGGAGGGGAAGGTCTTCTGAGTATCTGATATGGTAACTTAAGATCCTTACAGATGAAGAAAATCCGTGGGCCTATGGAAAAAACCACTCCAGATGTTTATGTAATGTAGCAATATTTCCCTCTATGCCTGAACTCAAGACCACAGGAGTATTCTCAAGACTTAGCAGTTTGACAGTGGCATAAAAGCTTAGAGTTGTGAATTCACTCAGTATTTGTTTCACACAGAACATGAGTTTCCCTTACTAAGGGATTAGAGAATCAGGACCTAATAACTAATCAATTATTTTTGTGTCAGAGGGTAGACCGTGCAAAAGCATTAGTCTTTATTAATGCATACCAGGTCTTCCAAAATTAGGTCCATTTCACATTTAAATTTAAATCAGGAAACTAAGAATTCTGTCTCCCTCCTTTCTAAGAAACAAGACAACATACTGAAAGAAATGAGATTTGGGATTCTGGCTTTCATTTCTCTGCTACCACTTCATTACTATATATTTCCTTGGGAAAGCTTCCTAGGATCACTGTAGGATCCCAATGTCCTTTTTAGAATAGGCAGGCTAGAAATAAAGTGCATAAAGTACATAAAGCTCTGGCCATCATATCTGGCATAGAGTGGGCTCTAAGATGAGAGAGTCTTCCTCTCTCCACTCCCACCAGAGGTCTATGCGAACCCTTTCTCCTTAATTCCCTTTGCCACAACCCTAACCCTAGTCAATTTAGGTCCATTTCTCATTTTCAAAAAGCATGGCCAATATGGGGAAAGGCGGTTAGGGTACTAAAGTAATGTACCTCTCTATTTTTAAAAAAGAAACAAATAAAAAGAAAACCTCTAAATTTGAAACAAATAATAATCTATCCACTCAGATAAGTCATCTTTGCAAAAAAGAACGAAAATGGCTAGCAAAGAGCCCAAGGAGAAAAACTACAGCTGGGACTGAAATGTACCAAACACGTATATGCATATAATTGTGCACGAAGATCATATGAAGAGTTGTTTGAAAGAATAAAAATCTGTCCATGATTTACTCAACGCTACCCCAGAGAGAATATATTAAAGGTTACTCTCGGGTTAGGTTACAAGCTTAAGTCTACAAAAGCCAGGTGCCCCCACCCATCAGGGAGGTCCTACCCGCGCTCCCTTGGCATCACTTTAGAGCTGTAACAAACGGCCCTCAGTAGTACATGAAGAGAAAATACACATAATCATAACCAAATGCATTGCGCTAGCGACTCAAGGATACAAGCAAAGGTATTATTTCACTGAAGTCTGAGGCTTCACATGTACTCTTATCATTCCACTCTGACCTCTATACCATCTCCTAAAGGCTGCTTCATGCAGTTTGCTCCCTAGAGATGACCAATATGACCACTTTCCTTCATCTGAGTCTGGATCCAGCATGCTGTGTCACTGAAATGCCTAGCCTGTGCAGGGAGAGGTTTGGAACTTAATATTAATAGGACCTTTCTTTCCATTGTATCATCCACTTTTAGAACACCCCAGTATATGATTTGGTCAGCATTAAATATACATACCTAACATCCATTTATGAACTTGACTCTCTTGACCTATTGCCTCATTTCTTGGACACGGTGTCCCATCCAGTGTTATAAAATGCCAGAAGGAAGAGACTAAAGGCCCCTGGCTTTTTATATGAGGCACCATGTGAACATTAATGCACTTATGAGGCACCCAATGAGGAAAAGCCCCCAAATACCATTCACAGCTATAGCTCCTAAAAAAATCTTATGAAGGCCAGCAAAACAGGCCATTACCCTATTTTACAGATAAAGAACTCTCAGGTGAATGTTATTAAGCTATCTGCCCATGGTACAATGGCAGCCGGGCAATACAACTGGACCAATACAAATGGACTCCTACCATTTCTACCAACTTGTCAAATTCCTGCTATTGAGGTCCTTTGTTTTTAAAGAAATAGCTTAAATTATTTCCCCTCAATGCCCTTAAAGGGTTACCAAGATTTGTAATTAAAATCGTTGCTGCAATAAATATTATTTCACACAAAGCCAAACTGACTCACACTAACCAGAACTGTCCCCTTTAGTAGAGCAACCTTTGTGGCATTTGATTCATTTTTGGTCTTTAAATGGGGGAAATGAATGTTTCTTTTTTAAAAAGGAAAACTCAAACTATTCTTGGTGACCTTCAAGCTAAGGAAAATGCCCTAAATTTCTAACTCTCCTTCATGTTTCTTACAGAGTCGAAACTGCCACCTCGCATCTGCAAATATTACATTTATGACACATGTTCCAAGAAAAGAAAAAAAAAACCACGCACACACACCATGTGATTTTAAAATGCAGGGCACTGTGGCAGCCTGTCTGTCTGTCTCTACTGAAGTCTGTCCCTAATCCACAAAAAGGAGCCTAGTGGCAGAAGGAACAGCATTCAAGGGAAGCTTTTAAATCCCAAGAGGAAAAAGATGGCATATCACCAAC